TTGCCTGGGTGGCACACTCACTCACTAAGAGGGGTCCTTGTGCTGAAGCTGTGCAACCATGGTGGCTGTGGGCAGGCAGCTGGGAAGGGAGAATTCAGATATTCTACTGCTGGGGCTGTGCATCCTTGTTTGGATAAGAGCGTGCCCAGTGGGGGCTCACAGAGGCACCCAAGAGTGGCCTGTGGGGTGGTGGTCTCAGAAAGCCTGCACTCTGGGAAGGTGCAACTGAGGTATCCAGAAGTTGGCAGCTGGGGAGAGGAAAGTCGCACTTACTGCTGCAGGAGCCGTGCACCCTTGGAGGTGGACGTCCTAGGTTCTGCAGGTCTGTGGGTGGGGCAGCAGGATTTTGACTGGAGTGGTTGCAGGGGTGCAGACAGTGTCCAAGGCCAGTCAGGGTGGTGGTGCTGATGAGCTCTTAGAAGAAGCCGCTCTCCCCTTCAAGATGTCATGGGCTCCATGCCTGAGCCCTGCAGCCTAGGAATGCCCGCAGCAGTGGTAGGTGCTCCCTGTCCAGGAGAGCCGGGTCTGCCAAACCCTGCTACTTCTGCCAGATTTAACTGTCTCTCACTCACACACACACACCACACACATCCACACACTCTTCTTTCACCCCCTCACTCACTCACACCCTCTCCTTCACCTCCATCCTGCTAGCTGCCATCTTTGCTCCTCTACTTATTTATTTTATAACTGAAAATTTATACCTTTCAACTCCCTTCACCTATTTTTTTAAATATATTTTATTGATTTTTTACAGAGAGGAAGGGAGAGAGATAGAGAGTCAGAAACATCGATGAGAGAGAAACATCGATCAGCCGCCTCCTGCACATCCCCCACCAGGGATGTGCCTGCAACCCAGGTACATGCCCTTGACCGGAATCGAACCTGGGACCCTTCAGTCCGCAGGCCGATGCTCTATCCACTGAGCCAAACCGGTTTCGGCATCCCTTCACCTATTTTGCCTACGCTTTTAATCTAAGCCTCTGGCAATGACAAATCAGACTTCAGATGTCCAAAAAAATAAAATTTAAAAAATTAACATGGGAAATGTGCCTCCACGGCCCCAAACTTCCAAACTCCAGCCCTCATTTGATACTCCTAATAGGAAGCCTTTACTTGCAAGTGCTTTACAGAAATGGGAAGATTTAACTAGAAAATACCAACTTAATGATAGAAAATGGCCAAAATGCAGTTGTCTTTGGGTACCTAAATTAATATCTTTGCATATAAAAATTAGAAAAATGTTGACTCTAAAATTTAAGTGAATGAATATACATGAAGCATATATTGATTTGGAAATTGGCTATTCTGATCTACTCCAATTATAACACCTACTGCTTTCTGAGAGCGAGGCAACAGACTTACTAAATAAGGTCTGCTGTGTAGAGTGTTCTGTTTTAGTTGTAAAAAGCCAGGTCACCATAAGAAAGACTGCAGAAAACTAAATGGGATTTACAAAGAGAAAATGAACACAAGTGAAAATATGGAGAGGCACTCTTGGGTGCCTCTGTGAGCCCCGCTGGGCACGCTCTTATCCAAACAAGGACACACAGCCCCAGCAGTAGAATATCTGAATTCTCCCTTCCCAGCTGCCTGCCCACAGACACAAGTGAGAAGGTGTTTCCCTTTCTCCTTACTAAGACTTTAGGATAAATTGAAATTATCAGAAAAGGGGAATTACTAAAGCCCTTGTACATACTGGGGCTACTTTATCTGTTATTAACGCTACCCAACTAAGTTTCTCTCTCCCTCAGAGTAAAGCTTCTGTGCAAATGGTAGGGGTGTCCAAGCAACCAATGGCTATTTTAAAATCAGAACCTGTCCTCTTTCAACTAGGGCATGTTATGGGGAAACATATATTTTACTGGTCAAATCGGGCCCAATTCACCTGATAAGGAGAGATTCAGGTCAAGGGCACGTTCCTGAGTTGTGGGCTTGATCCCCAGCAGGGGGTGTGTCAGAGGCAGCCAATCAATGATTCTCTCTCATCATTGATGTTTCTATCTCTCTCTCCCTCACCCTCTCTGAAATCAATAAAAATATATTTTTTAAAAATCTTGTGTTTTCTCTGGAAAAATTCGTAATTTGATGTATTTGTATGGTCTTCATGTATATGTTCTTTATGTAATATGTATTTGTCTGTATATTATGTGTGGTAAATTTTTAGCCTCCAGATGGCATTACTTGGATAAAATATTTTATTATCATAATTAAAAAATGATTAAATACTATAAATTAAGCAGATTTCTGTGGTCTGGACAAAATATTTGATATTAAAACTGGCTTAAGTTTGATTAATGTCTTTTATAGTTATTACCTTAAAATATGTTTTTACCTAGATTTACAAAGAGTTTATGGTATAATCTTTTGATTAAGTATCTCTGACAACCTCCCCAAAGTTTAAATTTTAAGATAATTTTTTAACTAAGAGATGACTTTGAGTCATTCCAATGGGTCCTGGAATGCCTCAAGAATTTATTCTCTCTACTTAAAAAAAATAAATGTTTTTAAACTAAATTAGGTCTATTTAATATACTTGCAATTACATGGGAAATTTGCAAAATAAAAATTAATAATAACTCTATTCTATTTGTATACATATATTTTGTTAAAATGGATGTTATAGAAATTTCAGTCTTCTCCAGAAAGGAACTTGCAGATTCAGAGCCAAGTTCAAACTGGAAACTCAGGGGTAGCAGGTGTCCAGTCAGCGACACCAGGGAAGCCAAAAGTGATGGTTTCCTGTGGAGGGAGCCCAGCAGTGATACTTCGGATATTTGTGCTCCATATTGGGAGTTTATGAATTATTTCCAATGCTCAATGCACACTTCCAATAAGCCATGTGTAACGTTTTAAAATTTTACATGTTATTTGTTCTCTATATGCTGAAATTATGTATTGAATCTAAATATATATATAGACTTTATATTATTTTCATGTCATTTTACAGTAATTATTACTTACCAAGAAATTATTGTCTTGGAATGTTATATCTTATAGAAAAACAAAGTTTTTAAATCGATTACAATAAAATCTATAACTATGCCACTTTAAGTTTTGTCATTCATAGAAAGAAATTGTTTTACTCTGATGCATATGTTTTGTCTTTAGAAAAATCCATGAAAAGGACCCTGACTTCAAGTTGCAGATTTCTAAGCAGGTCATATATTTTACCTAGATGGAGATTTATAGAACTCTAAGGAACAACTAAATTCATTTTTAAAAATACTGGCAAATTATCAGGATAAACAAAAATAGTTATGGGACTAAATGAATTGAGAGTAATTTTTATTCTTATGACTCTGTTTAAAATATTGCTGATTTTTAAATCTTTTGTTTCTCAAATATAAGGAACTAAAAATCAGACATTCTGCATTAAAGGAACTGATAAATTAGTAACATTCATTTCACAGTATTCCCAAAAGACAAAGAGTCAAAGACCACAATTTACAACTGGGAGATTTTTGTCCATTGGGAAAGATATTAATTAAAGTATCTCTCCACCAGTGTTAAAGGGACTTTACCTTATCAGGTATCTAACCACGAATGGACATCTGCCCTTATTTCTGACACTGACCTTCATCTCAAGGATGAGAAGCTACCAGCCACGAAGAAGGCAGACAGCTATTCTAAGACTTCAACAAGGCCTATATGCTCACAAATTAATGCTGCTCTAACTTTGTTCTTTTATCACCTAATTGTTATCGATTGAATGTATATAAAGTGATTTTTATTATCCTTCTTAAGGTTTCCTAGTGGAAATAATATCTGTCTCCCCAGACCCTCCCTTTATTAGACATGAGAAATTTTAACTTAAGGTACCTGTAAATCTTTCCCACCTACTAAATTAATATTCTGATTATCAGCTATGATAATGAATGAATGCTTTGTTGGGCATACACTGGACTTCTTCTACTGTCAATATAAGCTTTGGTACATTTTTTTCTGGCTATATTTATTATAAAAGACCCATCTTAGACAAACCCCTCCAAGAACACCTCCCTAATAATTCCCCTAGGAGAATTATATATGGATCTAATCTAGATGAGTATTTTAGATGAGTAATGTCTAAATATAGAAATGGATGAAACTATACCCAGAAGAAAAATTAGAGCTTCTAGATAATAAAATAGTATAAACTCTTCATTCATCTGATCAAACATATCATAAAGTACAAGTGACAGTGGATGAAGAAAAACATATAACTAGCTTAATAAAAAATTATGAGAATACATGTAAAGGGTTTTTCAGTTGGCTTGTTCCCCTTGGACACTTCCTTGTCTAGTGTTAGACATTTTCTGTTCCTAATCAGTGTTACTGGTTTAATATTGTAGCTTTTGTTCCTGGCATGTAAATGTTATACTAGATGCATAAAAACAAAACTTAAGACAAGCAGCAAAATTACTTGAATCATGGCGGCTCAAAAATTAGAACTAACCCAGAATACATTTTAACAAGGACATATAGGCTCTGACTGCTTCCTATTTACCTGCCTTTTATTTTAAACTAGTGGCCTGGTGCATGGATTCATGCACATTGAAAGGAAATTAAGTAGATGAAATATTTTTAAATTGTCAGTGCACGTCAGACATACAGTCGGTCACTTAGCCTTTTATATAGATAGATAGATAGATAGATAGATAGATAGATAGATAGATAGATAGATAGATAGTTAGATAGATAGATAGATAGATAGATAGATAGATAGATAGATAGGCAAGTGTACAGTAAACCAGATTCGGGGTAGACAGTGCCACAGAAGCAACATAACCCAAGGCCAAAGGTGGTAAACCAGATTCGGGGTAGACAGTGCCACAGAAGCAACATAACCCAAGGCCAAAGGTGGAATCGAACAGCCCCTCAAGGAATTGGGCTCCATCCTCTCTGGTTCTGGGGTGTGTCACCAGAGAACTGCCACTGCCAATTCACTGCAGCTCAGCAGCTCCTGCATTGAGCGTCTGCCCCCTGGCGGTCATTGCACATAACAAAACAGGAAACAGAAACAAAGTCATAATTGAAAAGTTATTTTATTTTTAGCCAATCATTGATGAACCACTCTCCCTGCTCATGAGGCGAGAACGGGTCACAGAACTGCCATGGCGGGAGAGTTGGTCACGAAACTCTGAGGCCATGAAATAATAGAGAATTGGATCCAAAAGGCAGCAAAGACTTGCAAGGCATAGACTAAAAGGGTGAAAATACTGTGCGCTTTTGACAATGGAACAACTGCTAATGAAATCTTCCTTTACCATGGTGTAAAAAATAAAGTTAATATGATAGGGAGTGAAGCATATGAAAAAGACTGCAGCACACATGAAAACCATACGCAATGCTTTCTGCCTCTCACTGATTCCCTGGAAAGCCATTGGTGGTTGTCTCAAGGATATGGTGGTTTTCCAGGTACACCATGCGATGATGATGACTGGGATCACAAATCCTGCCAGCTCAGCAACTGTAATCATCCCAACCAAATCCATTGGAGGCATTTTTTTGTATCCAAGATCAGCAAAGCAGGATTCAGTATTGTTGGCTAAGCCAGTACCTCTCAGAATTGGAAATGGCAAACAGGCAGTGCCCACGATGACCCAGATGACAGCACTGATGCCCACATCATACCTACGCTTCCAATCTCTGGCCCTGAAGGGCTTCAGGAGAAAGAAGCACCTCTGAAGGCTGATGCAGGTCAGGAAGCAAATGCTGGCGTACATGTTGAGATATTTCAGGTAGAAGCACAGCAGGCAAAGGGTCTTCTGGAAAGGCCAGTGGTGGCTGATGTAGTAGTAAATCCGGAGGGGTAAGGAGAGCACATGAGCAAGGTCAGCCACAGAGAGGTTGATCATGAAAATGATGGCTTTATTTTTCTTGCTGATGAAGCGCCACAGAACCCACAAGGCTACACTGTTAGCCAGAAGACCAGGGATGAATATGAGGACGTAGGTGGTTGCATAGAGAGTGTACTGAAATGTCAAACTAGTGACATTGCACTTGGTCACAGCATCGCTAGCACTGTTGTCATGCATCTTGAATATTTCAGTATATTCATTAAGGTAAGTCGTAGAGTTATGATCCCTGCCCAAACCAAAGAAAAAAAAGTTTAGTGGTTAACCAGTTCTTTAGCCAACACCCAGATTTATTTTCACATTTGAAAAGACATAAAATATTATAATTAGAAGGGACCTGTTTGCAGATGAATAAATAAATGCTCAAGGAAAATATACTATTGATCTAAAGTCACCCAATGAATTAGTTAGAGAAACATGAAATTGCTCCCAAACTTCTTTCCCAGATATTGAAAGTTGTCTTTTGCAGGCAAGGATGTTCTGAAATAGTCAGTCTACTGTTCTCACCACAGCAAAATGGGTGTGACATTTGAGTTTCTTTTTTGTCCAAATTTATCTTGCAAAAGCCTTGGTTAAAGTGAATACTGCTCAGTCATTCTCATTTGTAATGATAGAAATCTAGCCTCACCTTTTATGTCCCTTTGCCTCTCCTTTGTCTGCTACCTTGCCCATCAGACTCTGAATTCCTATCTTGACACCACAATACTTGGAAAATGGCCCTGCTTCTCTTAGCCGGCATTTCCAGTATCCTGGCTGATTTTCAGCAGTTAGGGATGTTATCTCCTCATTATTCTATCACAATAGCTTGTGGTTCTGTTCTCATGCACTTTATGTCTTTCTCTAGACTTAGGTCCAATTTGAAATTTACATTAAAAATTCAGTAATAGTATATGAATTTAGAAGCTGAACTGGGATCTTTCCCCTTATGTGGTCTGGAAGAGAAGAGAGTAATTTTTTGTGTAATTCTGTACTGGTGTAACATCATGGACATGACAGATTATCCAACAGTCAGAGTAAACATTGATTAGGGCACCAGCAAAACAGGCCACCAAAATCATTTCTTGGAAACAATTTAAAAGTTATTGTTGTTTCTTTTCATTGAAGCAGTCATCATAAGGAGTAAAAGACCTTTGGACTTCTTTAATCTTATTTTATGATTTAGTATGGTTTCTATTATGTATCATGTGTAGGGCCTGGGAAATATAGAATATTTAGGACTTCTCAAGGTCTGGCTGTGGATTTATTGGGTTTATGCAGGCTGTCTGCAAATAAGAATGGCTAAAAAGCAGCAAAATTATTATTTTACTTTATCTATCTTGTAAAATTTTAGACTGGAGAGGAACTTTGAAAATCATTTAATTCATTCTGCACATAATAGTGGTAGAAGAAGCAAGGCTCAGATCATTAAAGCCACAAAGCCACTGAACAGAGATCTGGGAATTCAAATAGGAGGAAAATGTGCCTAACATTTATACACATTCTTCTCTTCATCATCCCTTTTTCTTTCAAAGACAAATTTTACAAACATGACTTCTTTCCAATTTGCAAGAATGTTTATTACAGTTAGAGCTAGAAGTGGAAGAAATAATGCAGTGAGGTTATTCCTTGGGTGAAGTAAGGGTTTTTGTTATTATTTTTATGTTGTTTTGATCACTTTAAATTTATAAAAAGGGAGTGGACAAATGTCTATTCAGGTATTCAGGTCCTCTGCCCACTTTTTTTTTAAAAACCCTCGCCTGAGGATATTTTTCCATTGATTTTAGAAAGAATGGAAGAGAGAGGGAAAGATAGAGAGAAACATCGATGTGAGAGAAACACATTGATTGGCTGCCTCCTGCACAAGCCTTGATCAGGGCCTGGGCCAGGGAGGAGCCTGCAACCAATGTATGTGCCCTTGATCGGAATCAAACCAGGGACCCTTCAGTCTGCAGGCTGACGCTCTATCCACTGAGCAAACCAGCCAGGGCCTCTGCCCACTTTTTAAATGGATTGTTTGTTTTGGTTTTGAGTTGTATGAGTTTTTATAAATTTTGGATATTAACCCCTTATCAGATTTATCATTGGCAAATATCTTCTCCCAGTTAGTAGGTTGTCTTTTCATTTTATTGATGGTTTCCTTTGCTGTACAAAACCTTTCTTGTTTGACCCTGATAATTCTGCCTCCACACATAGTTACTGCAATATTATTGACTTATATTCTCTATGCTGTACTTTACAACCCCATGACTATTTTGTTTTTTGTTTGCTTTTTGCCTATGACTATTTCGTAATTAACCGTTTGTACTTCTTAATCCCTTCACCTATTTAACCCAGTCACCTAAACCCCTTCCCCTCTAGCAACTATCAGTCTGTTATTTTGAATTAGTGTTTTGGGTTTCTTTGGATATACCCAGAAGTGGAATCGTTGGGTCATAAGACAGTTCCATTTTTAATTTTTAAAGGATTCTCCATACTGTTTTCCATAGTGGCTACACCAATCTACATTCCCACCAACAGTCCATGAGGATTCCCTTTTCTCCACATCCTTCACAACACTTGTTTGTTGTTTTATTGATGATAGGCATTCTTATAGGTGTGAGGTGGTGTCTCATTGTGGTTTTAATTTGCTTTTCTTTGATGATTAGTGATATTGAGCAACTTTTCATATGTCTATTGGTCATCTCTATGTCCTCTTTGGAAAGATGTCTATTCAGGTCCTCTGGAAATTTTCTAATTGGAATCTTTGTTTTTTAGGTGTTGAGTTGTATGAGTATTTTTATCAATTGTTATATTAACCCCTTATTGGAAGTATAATTGGTTAATGTATTCTTGCATTCAATAGGTTGAAATTTAATTTTTGTTAATGGTCTCTTTTACTGTGCAAAATTTTTTAGTTTGCTGTAGTCACATTTGTTTATTGTTTCTCTTTTGTTTCCCTTGCCGAAGGGATATATCAGAAAGAATATTACTGAGAGCAATGTCAGAGAGTTTACTGCCTATGTTTTTTATCTAAGAGTTTTATTGTTTGGGGTCTTACATGTAAGGTTTTATTTCATTTGAGTTTATTCTTGTATATAGTATAAGCAGGTGGTTTAGTTTTATTTTTTTCATGTATCTGTTCAGTTTTCCCAACACTTTTTCTTTTTCATTTTTAATGTTTACTTAAATCATTTTTTTGTTTTTCAATTACAGTTGATAAACAATATCATATTAGTTTCAGATATACTGTCCAGAGATTAGACATTATATAACTCACTAAGTGATCATTGCAATAAATCTGATACAATCCATAGTTATTCCTGCCTTAATCCTATTATATATTCTTGCCTCCTTTTTCATATATTAATTGACCATATATATGTGAGTTTATTTCTGGGCTGTCTATTCTGTTTCATTTATCTATATGCCTGTTTTTATGCCAGTACCATGCCGTTTTGATTACTATAGCTTTGTAGCATAGTTTGATATCAGGTAGCATGATCACTCCAACTTTGTTCTTCTTTCTCAAGATTGTTGTGGCTATTCAGCATCTTTTGTGGTTGCATATACATTTTAGAATTATTTGTTGTATTTCTGTGAAAATTCCATTTTTATTTTGATAGAGATTGCTTTAAATCTATAGATTGCTTTGGGTAGTATGACCAGTTTAACAGTGTTAATTTTTCCTATCCATCAGCACAATATATGTTTCCATTTATTTGTATTTTTTTATTCATTGTCTTATAATTTTCTGAGTATATGACTTTTACTTCCTTGGTTAAATTTATTCTTAGGTATTTTATTTTTTAATCTTCTTTTATTGATTTCAGGGAGAGAGATATGTAAATATCAATGATGAGATAAATTAATTGATTGGCTGCCTCCTGCATGCCCCCCTACAGGGGATTGAACCCACAACCCAGGCATGTGCCTTGACTAGGAATCAAAACCATGACCTCCTGGTTCATAGGTCGATGCTCAACCACTGAGCCACACTGGCTGGGCAGATATTTATTTATTTTATTTTTTATGCAATTGTAAGTGGGATTGCTGTCCTGATCTCTCTTTTTTATAGTTTATTACTAGAGTACAGAATGCAACTATCCTGCTACTTTACTGAGTTCATTTATCAGTTCTATAGTGTTTTGGTGAAATTTTTAGGGTAAGTTATAAATAATCATGGGGTGTAAAATATAGCATAGGGACTATAATCAATAGCCTCTATATATAAAAGGCTAAGCCACAAAACCACTGGCCGACCAGCCAGTAAGTATGATGCACACTGACCACCAAGGGACAGATGCTCAATGCAGGAGCTGCCGAGTGACAGCAACTTTGCAGAGTGCCCTCTCGCACTCTGGGAACCCTCAGAGGATATTGGACTGCTGGTTTCTGCCCAATCCCCGCAGGCCAGGCTGAGGGACCCCACCTGCCAGAGGGACCCTGCCAGCCACCTTCTAATTAATTTTCTTTCAATGTGCATGAATCTGTGCACCAGGCCTCTAGTATTGTTATAACTATGTATGATGTTAAGAGTGTACTAGACTTATTGGGGGGAATCACTTTATAAATTTTTAAATGTCTAACCACTATGCAATACACCTGAAACTTATATAAAACAATATGAAATATTAATTATAATTGAAAAATAAATTTAAAATTTCATAAAAACAAAACAAAACAAAAACAGGAGATGCCTGCTTTTAGATTCTCCTTCTAAGTAGCAGATTGACTTTCTATATTTTTTAAGTCCTGCTCCAGGAAATAGGCTAAAAGAACAGGATCCCAAGTGATTAATTGACAGATAAAAGAGAGCCCACATTATGAGCTACCATTACTCTAAACAGTGCTTTTCATTTTTTTCTGCCCCTTATACTAGTATCCCATTCTTTCAATTTGGACTATCTTTGATATGTTCTACAAAATCATGCAGTCTTCTGAATGCACGACTTACAAAAAAGGGTTGAGGAATTCTCACAGGTAAAAGACAAGAAATACTAGTAATTATCATAGTTTGACTATCGGTGATGTATCACAGATCCTGCAATGGATTTTTTAAAATATGCATTATCTAATTAAATTCTCACAACTGTCCTCAGAGGTGAGTACTATTATTATTGTCATCGTACAGATGAGGAAACTGAAGTTCAGAAAGGTTCAGTAAATTCCTGAGGTAACAAAACTGGAAAATGGTAAAAATGAAATTTACTATCACAACTGACTTGATCCAAAGTCTACAGTATCCTATTTCCACTACACCACTTGCCTCTT